AAAAAATAAATTCCAGGTGGATAAAGATTTTAGAAAGACCAAACTGTAGGGTTATATGAATAAAAATGTAAGAAAATACATTTAAAACTTTCTCATAAGGAAGTTTTATACCTTAAGATACAAAATACAGGAATCTATGTAAGATCAATCACCTGCTTTCCGAAATGAGAAATTCGACATAATGCACATCAAAAGAAGTTAAGAAAAATGCAGTAAAATAAAAAAATATGTTCACAGAAAAGGTTTTGTATTCTCTGTGTGAGAGTCTCCATAGCTGCTTAATTACCAAAGTCTCAAACTAGTAAGATCGTGAGTCCATTAGTAAGACAAGGGACAAAGTGTGGTTGGTTCATACAATAGAACAAAGTAACTACTGAGTTACTGAGTAGTAACCCAGTAATAAAAAGGGAGAGATTAGGGCGGCACCTGTGGCTCAAGGGAGTAGGGTGCTGGCCCCATATACCGGAGGTGGCGGGTTCAAACCCAGCCCAGCCAAAAACTGCAAAAAAAAAAAAGAAGAAGAAGGGGAGAGATTGTCACATGGATCTCAAAATTGTCATACTCAGGAAAGACCACGTACTGTATGATTCCATTCCATGAATATCAGAACCAGGTAAACTAATTGTAGTGGGAAAAAAACTTCAAAATAGAAGTCACTTCCCAGGGGCACGAGGGGAGAGATTGCCTGAGAAGGAGCTGTAGAGAACTTTCTGGGTGACAGTAATGTTCTTTGTCTTGATAGGAGTTTGAGTGACAGCTGTATCTGTATTCAAAAGATGTATTTTACTATATGGAATTTTTATCCTTGAAGAAAAAAATTAGAAAAACATTCATAAACTCTAAATGTATGTATGTGAAAAGTTTTAGAAATAAGGGTACTGATGACTACAGCTTACTCTGATATGCAAAAAATGAGATGGATTAATGGATGGATACACACTAACTCAAGTATAGCAACACGTCAAAGGTAGAAGCCAGGTAGTGAGTATAAAACTCTTCCAACTCTTCTGTATGTTTGAAAGTTTCGTAACAGGGAAAAGACATAAGTAACAGAAGGAAAAATATCCCCAACATGTAAGAGGCTTTTGTCCAGAATTTTTAAAAAGCTAATTATTAGTAGAACAAAACTCTCTGTTTAAAATAAGCACAGGCCTTCAAAAAAAGAGGCAAATGCCAACAATGCCTAAAATGATCATCCTACTCAGAAAATTCAGATTAAACCAACACCATCACTCACTCCTCGCCCACCAGGCTGGCTCTGGCTTGCAGGTGTCTGAGTGTTGGAGGCAGGTGGGTTTCCTGCAGGCTGCCGGGGGCAGGGTGAGGTGGAGCAGCCACTTAAGTGATCACAAGTCTGTTGAAGCTCATCTCCCACCTCCCTGTACCACCAGGGCAGGAAACTAGTGAGCAAACTCTTACACAGTAGTTAGGATGAAGTAGAGGCACCATGGAAAGATCTATGACCGATTACTAAGTGAGATCCATGTATACAGATACTGCATTTATAAAAAAAGTCAAACCACCATACAAGTACACACACACATACACTGCAGATCAGAGTCTGGCAAAATGCAAACCCCTATCTTGGTGAGGAGGTAGAACTGGAAGTGACAGCTGGAACAACTTAATTTGAAATAGATCAGTAATTAAATTTATAAGACCATACTCATATATTGTTCACCTAAAGGTATGAACTTATTACTTGCCTAAAACAAAAGTGAAGTCACTTTCCTAGCACTTGCCTCAGAGTGAAAGTAGTTAAATACACACTTGCTAGGATTTTATACCCCCGAACCAGGCTTTCACTTCTCAATCATCCCTAAATCAATTTCCACCCATTGCACACCCAGCGTAGAGCTCCACAGTTCATCTGTAAGCCCATCTTCAGTTCACATCCAGAGCAGGTGCTGCAGACAAGCCCTTTCCTGTACTGAGATGGGGTTAGGTGGCTGGGCACCTGCCATAACATAATCACTGACCGATGCAGTGCGAGCCGGTTCCTAATTTGCTTCCTTCCCCCAATCCAAGTGCTGAGTCATATCTGACTATGTGGGCAGAATACTGAACATCAGTCATGCCA